TGTTTTTCAAATTTCCTGTTGGTGAAAATAACTTGCACAGTTTTTTCGGCGTTTATCTTTATCCCCCAGGTGTCAGATTAATGCATCACTTCGTTTAGATGATTTTGAAGTTTTACAGTTGCTTTAGTGATATCATGGTTCATTGATAAAAGGCCAGTGTCGTCAGTAAACGTTACAGTTAGTATTTCTCTACTTTTTGGCTTAGGAATGTCTGCAGTGTATAATAGATATAGGATCGGGCTTAATACACTCCCTTGAGGGACACCGGCTTCTATTTTTATCATGTGGGATGTGTCGTTTTAATATTGTACAAAGAAGTATCTATCTTTAAGGTAGCTTTTCAGTAGTAAATAAAAATCGGCCAGCAGTATTCTTGATAGTTTGTAAAGCAATCCTTCGTGCCAGACACTGTCAAATGCTTTAGCTACGTCTAAAAATACACCCACAGTGATCTTCTTAGTGTCTTTATTCATTGTAATTTTACTATCCACCCGATGAATTTGCTGAATAGTAGAATGCTTTTTACGAAATCCAAATTGGTGATTTGGCAATAGGTTGTTTTCTTGTATTATTGGTTCCAGTCGGGAGAAAAGAAGATTTTCAAATAGTTTGGATATGATGGGTAATAAGGTGATCGGTTTGTAAGAGTTGACAATTGAAGCATTTTTGTTTGGTTTAGGTATTGCTACAACCTTCGCTATTTTCCAAACAGAAGGGAAAATCTTATTGCTGATCATGCAGTTAAAGATGTTTCTAATGTAAATGATAGCTATTACAGTGTAGTGCGCATACACATATTGACACAGCACATAAATAATCTTCAGTTTATTCCCATACTTTGTTGCGATATTTATGCAACGGGAATTAGACACCACGCGATAAGCGTCGTGGAATGTGCTGGCTAGTCAAATATGTTTATGCACACTTAATATAAACTGCATGTGCTTGCGCTGCGACGTTTTGCACATGTATTAGTATAAGTGTTATGTACATGCGCTGTGTCGCTATGTACATAGACGTTAAGTATAATAATTTTTAAGCACAGAATTTAATAAAGATTTGAACATGAAACTCGACGGTACTCTTCTTTTAATTACAACAGGTAATTCTAAAAGAAATTTACCAGATATCTCATTATAGCCTGGTGATTTTTTTCGGTTGATGTTAACGGCGATGAAGTTTTTTATTTCAACAATTGTTGTCTTCTTAATTTTAACGTTCTTCTGGGTCAAGTTCTTGGGTAGAGCATGGTTTGTATCATTTTTAGGATTTGTAAATGTGCTCTTAAAATACTCAGCGAGAACAGTTGCTTTTCCTTGGTTTGTGCGCGTCCAAGTGTTATCTTCTTTTTTAAGCGGTGCGTAATGGAGTATGGCACCATTACTACCTTTTGTCGCTTTCCATAAGGAGTAATTTGTAACCTTCGTAGCACTCAATCTTGAGATAAAATTTGACACATTTTTTTGTCTTTCAGCCTCTAATAAATCTTTTAGATCTTTTGTTAATTTATTCAACTTTGTTTTTATTTGTGGAGCTCTAGATACTTGCCAGATTTTTCTCAACTTTCTTTTTGTTCTCTTTTATTTTTGACGTGATTCGGGACAGATATTACATTTTTGGTTTTTATTATTGGTGTTGCAACGACACTTTTTGGTGACGTTCAAAAATATTTAGTTTTTGCTGGTGTATCCTCAGCCGTCGTCCAGAGTCATTACAATGAATTTATATTCGCGGGGACAAGTTTCGTAAAAGAAAGATATTTTTAAATTTTCTAAGTTTAGTTCTTTATTATTTCAATAAATGTTTGTACAAAGTTATTTCGACAATAGTGCGAAAGCTATTTATTTAATTATGTGCTTTAAAAATAAACGAGCTAATTAAATATAACTCGTAGAAGAATAAAATTATAATAAAATAACAAAAAAATTCGATATGTATTGTTTACATAAAAAAAAGGATGTATATGTAGTGCTATATATTTTTACTTCGAAGATTTCCGTATGTCCAGGCGATACCTAGTTGTGCCGTACGTTGTGAATTCTGTGAGTGATAGCCGTGGATTTGATGGGCGAACGCCGTGATTTCTGTGAACGGGTGTCGTGGAATGGTGTGTAGTTCTTCTCAGGTTACGCTACGGAATATTCATAATATGTCCGTGCGATTTCTTGTATTCCTTCAAATAAATTTATATCCTTTGCCGTAAAACCAACGCAGGATTTAAGATATTTCTTATGGTTATATATGTTTCATAGACATATATAATTTATAGCCTTTGCCGAAGAACCAACGCAGGATTTAATAGTTTCCAATTGATATATATGGTTCATAGACATATATATTCTTATTTCCTTTGCCGTAAGACCAACGCAGGATTTAAGATATTTCTTATGGTTATATATGTAGTAGTAGTAGTAGTAGCTTTATTTTTACTTCATTTTAAAGTTATTATATTATATCGAAGTTATATAATAATTATAATACATATAATTATAATAAATATACATAAAGCTTACAGCTATGGCATTTTAGCCGTCTGCCGGAAGTTTAGATTAATCTAATAGCTAATTAACTAATAACTAATTAATCCAATTTTTATAAATATTAAATAGATTTTCTTACTTATGAGCTCAATACAACATAAAAATTAAATTAAATTACTTTAACAAAAATAATAGATTTTATATAAGTTAATTTAAAAATCTTCATTAATAATATTTTGCCTATATTTAAATGTAGTTTTAATAAACGCCGTTAACAATCTCCAGTTGGGGCCATTCAGTAACCGTATGGTTTCATTGACATCGAGCGCAGGTTTACCGAAGTACAGCAATCTATGTTCTTTAAAAATTGGGCATTCGCCTACTAAGTGTATAACATCGCCTTTCAATTTAAGGTTGCATATCGTGCACAGCGTGTCTAGACTTTCGTGCGGCACGTAGCACAATCGTAGGAGCTTGCCGCGGGTTTTGAAGATTGTCCTTATTGTTTCTAGGTCATATTGCTCGTGAAAGTAATAATTGAGACCTAGATCATAATTCAACTTACTATATGCATGTCTCGATATACTGTTTCTTGCCATTTCTACAAAATTTCTACGTTCTTCAATACTTAGTTTCGTTATTATATTTTTTTGCCACATTTTCCAGTTTTCATTAATACTCAAATCATTAGTTATATTTAACTCGGATGCCAGATTTGACCATTTTTCAAAAAATAATGTTTTTTCATTTATTAGGTACTGCGCTAATGTTTTTTGAATCCTATTGTCTGGCAAATTCCTAACACGATTGATGTAATCAAAATGCAATTTTAATGTTTGGGTATTTAGCGTTGGTAGACCAGTTTCTAAATGCACCATATAATTTGGGGTATTTTTCGGCAAATGAAACGTTCCCTTTATATAAAATGTCTGCAATTTTTCTACTGCGTCCTTTAACTTCTCGTTCAAGTGGTTATCGAATTTTGCGTTATATTTCATATTTATTCCTAAATATTTATAATTATTAACCACTTCTAATTGATCATCGTTAAGGTACCATTTTTCATCATTTCTCAATCTTCTAGCATGTTTCCTAAATACCATCACTTTTGATTTGTCTGTATTTATAGATAGTCCCCATAAGTTGCAATATCTATTTAATTCATCTATCATATTTTGTAACATTATTGGAGAATCTGCAAACAACACAATATCATCAGCATATAATAGCACTTTTAGGCACATATTGGCAATCGTAACACCACCAGAAAGAAATTTACTTAAGTCATCAACGAACAGTGCAAACAATATAAGGCTTAAGACACAACCTTGTCTCACTCCGGTACACGTTTGGAACCATCTCGAAGTACTTCTTCTGTCCCATACTGTTGACTCATTGTTGCAGTATAGACTTTGCAGTATTTTCAAAATTTTTGTTGAAAGACCCAGCTGGCTTAGTTTGTAAAATAGTACGTTTCTTTGTATTGTATCGAAAGCAGCTTTAAGATCTACGTAAAAAACATATAACTTCTTGCTTTTTGCAATAAACTCTTGCACTACACTAGTGATGACGAAAATATTATCTACCGTGGAGTAACCTTTTCGAAATCCAGCTTGAAATTCGCTTAATATGTTGTTTTGATCAACCCAATTTTTAATTCTGTTATACAGGAGTGTTGTAAATACTTTAGCTGATGTATTAAGAAATGCTATTCCTCTATAATTTGCTACATTATTTTGATCACCTTTTTTAAATAGGGGAAATGTTATGGCTTTTTTGTAACTATCAGGTGGGGCTGCATTTTCAAATATATAATTGTATGATTCAGCCATATGCTCTAAAAATTGTGGCGTGGCATATTTTAAAAACTCAGCTGGAATTCTGTTTTCACCTGCGGCTTTTTTATTTTTTAAATTCTGGAGCACAGCATAGACTTCTTCAATCTTTATTGGAGCATCTAACGCTTCATTTATTACATACGGCAGGGCATAACTGAAAGAGTTGCTTACTACATTGTATTTAACTGGTTTTTAAAATGTGCCGCCAAAGCTTCGGCGTCCACTTTAATTCCTTTTATGTGATCTGCACGATTTATTTTTTTAACTCCACTCCAAAATGATTTACTATCAGCTGCTTGGGATATCGACATTGCCATTTCATTAAAATATGACTTCCTTTTCTCATCACACAGCTTTTTGTATTCTCTGTTTACATTTTTGTATTTCTCTAAATCAGCTATATCACCACCTTTTTTAACTGTTTGTAGCCATTTAAATGATTTCTTTCTTGCAGTTTCACATTCAAAATCATACCATTTTTGTTTCCTATTTATACCCGCCGAATTACCCTGAAACGATTTTGCTGCTTGTTTTACACAATATTGAAGAATGTCATCTCCTTCCTTCACATTGTTTTTCTCTTCTTCTTGTAACATGTGCGGAAGAAATTTTGATATAAAAATTTGTTTCGTCACATTTCCCTCCTTCTTCGGAAAGTGGAAAATGAACTTGCTACGAGGCACTACTTCTCTGCATGATTTCTGTGTCGTTTCTTTGGGCTCTTGAATATTTTCAAGAATTCGTCTTGGTTTTTGACATGATGATGGTCATCCTTTCGTTTAAAGGTGCCTAGACGTCTTACTAGTGTTTCTGGTTTGTTTCCTTTTGTGCTTGGTTGAACGACTTCCAATTCCTCTTGCGGCGACCATGGTTCTTGTTGACTGTCGCACTTGACTTTATCTTTTGCTTGAGTTTCTTGGCTTGGTAGTTCTGTATTAAGTTTACTATCTGAAACATTGATATCTAATGGATTTGTAGGTTGTACATGACGATTGTTCGATACTGGCTGTATTGTAGTAGGTTTCCTCTGTGGCGATGTAGTCGATGACGGAGATGATGGTGGACCAGACTGGCGATTATTTCTTGGTGATGCTTCTCGTTGTGCTTGTTGCTGATTAACAGGAGGTGGAGACTGCTGCTCAAGTTTCTTTGGTTGTACCAATGGTTTAAAGTTGCTTTGCGAATTACACCGTGGCGTTTGCGACGATGATTTGAAATTACTTTGCGAATGACACTGTGGCGTTTTCGACGATGATTTGAAATTACTTTGCGAATGACTCTGTGGCGTTTGCGACGATGACTTGAAATTACTTTGCGAATGACTCTGTGGCATTTGCGACGATGATTCTGAACTTGTAGAAGTTGGTACCAATGGATGATTGACATGTGATGACTCTGGTACTATCGTTAAACATTGTAGCAGTGCTGGGCGTGATGATAAATCATGCTCTTCGATTTGATGCTTTTGTTCTCGTGGTTGTGTGTTTTGATTGCTGTTGGCTGGCGACTGTTGTGCATGGGCTTGGTGATAACATACTTCTGGACTTTCCCTATGAGACGTTGAAATCTGTGGAGGAGTTACGACGCATTTAGGCAACGCCTGCTTTTGTGGTTTTTCCTGTAGTGGTACTGAGTGTGGTTCTGAATCACTTCGATGCGGCATGCTTAGCGTGGGTAGTGTATTTGTTACTGGACTTCTAGCTGTTACTATTGTTGCTTGCTTAACTTTAGAACTACTCTGTTGCTGGTAACTTTTCTTATTTTGTAGCCCATGTGACTTTAGATTCACACTGTAAGTAACGTTCTGCCCTGTTCCTGTAGTTGGCATACATTTCGTGGTATTTGGTAATGACATCGTTTCTTGGTGCTTACTTATCATGCGATTGCTGATTGCTTCCTGTACCGGACTTCGACTTGTTTTAATTTGCTCTGTACGAAGTTCTTCTAATCTTTCGAAATACTCATGTGGAAGGAAAAATTCTAAAAAGTCTACCTTGAAGCTTGACCAGAGGTTCCAACGCTTATTGTTGTTGCGGTGCCACATCAGTGCCCTATTTTCAAGGAGTATGGGTATCGTCCTTGGGACTACATTTATGTCGATGTCATAGATGTCTGATGGGTTCGTGTTCTCAATGAACAGGGTATGGTCATGCGCAAAACATCAGCCTATGCCTTACCAAGACCATGGTGCGTGGTACTTTATCACACCCTTCTCGAGGTGAACCTGTTTGTAGTTGATAATTTCATTGACTCAACAGAACACTATGGATCTAGAGAGGAAAACTCGATAAAACCCGTAATCTCCGGTGTTATTCGACCCGTGCCGATGAGATGAATGGCACTACGTTAGTGTGTCTCTAAACGGAGACCTCCGGATATCTGGCGCCCTCCGGTTGTAACTTAGCCTTGTCCGGGTATAGCGGATCTCTGCCCGGATCGACTCTCCTTTCTCCGCAACTCGTGGGTTTAAAATATGAACCAAAACAATAAAAATTTACAAAAATCAAGCTCGGTTAAACCAAGCTCTTCTGGAACGGCTAGTTCCAAGGTACCTACCGCAACTTCTAGCGGTAATAACAGGGTACCTCCTAATAAACCAGGAATCTCCACGCGTTCTGGCCCTTCTGCATGGTCGGGCTCTCCATCCAGGAGAATTTATAAAGAACGGCGAGCGGCGACTAGGCTGCTCGAGAGATATGGTAATGTCTCGGTTACGTCCGAGTCTCTTAAGGCTAGATTAGCCTGGGCCAAACGGGTCCTTGATACTTCTAAGGAAGTCAAAAAGGAACCTGTACCGAAGCGCCAGCGCTCATTAGATGAGTCAGCTTCGAAGCCAGATGCCAAAAAGGCAAAATTTCGTGGCAACGCCACCACTACTAAGTCCTTTAGCGACACGCTGAAGGGCTCCATCATAATGGCGGTCATTGATGAAAATGATCCAGATGGCACTATTAATCCTGAAAAATGGGATCAAATTGAGCGAAAGCTCCTTGACTTGTACGTCGAAGTTCTTAAGGAATTTCCAGGTACAATTCCCAAATGTCGCGACGGTGGATGGTTTCAGGGCCATGTGAAACTAGTCGCCTGCGTTGATCAGCGTTCTGTTGATCTCTTTCGCATTGCCATCTCCAGAATGGGTGAGGTCTGGCCAGGCGCAAAGCTTAAAGTCGTTGCCAAGGAACAAATTCCTGGCCGACCTAGGGCGCGTTCCTGGATTCCAACCGAACCATCCGACCCTCAGCGGATTCTGGAGCTAATTCGGGTGGGAAACCCTGATCTAAATACGTCCACGTGGAAGGTCACCAAGCTGGAAGAAGCTAAAGGCAAGTTTAGGTCGGTCAGTTTTGTGATCGACAAAGCCTCTCTGGCCATTTTGGCGCGATCTGGTGGCGTTTTAAATTACGGTTTTTTCCCCATAACTATGAGGGTCTACAAAAAAGATGAGGAGCAATCCTCGTCTGATGTACGGGAATCAGCGGCAATTTCTCAACACACTGCTGATCCCTTGTCGAAAGTGGGCAACATTAAGCCTGCTTCAATGACCGAAGTGGGTCCGGTTATTCCATCTGAAGACTCACCTGTGTGCATGGACATTTCAATGTCTGCTCCTTCGCCAGCTCACTCAATTACATCAGAGGAGAGCATAGGCATGCGCTATCTTTTCGATGAAGAGGAACTCCTAATGAGTAATGACTCTGAGGAGGATAGTGCTTTTGATGTCACTGTGGTGGAGAAAAATGGATCCACACATACTGAAGATGCGGGTACAGCAAATTAACCTGCATCATAGCAAGGCTGCATCCGCCAGTCTACTGCAACGCCTCAGCAACAACGAGGCTGATATGGTCCTGATACAAGAACCATGGATTTATAAGGATCTTGTATGCGAAATCAGGGCTAATAACTACAACCTATTTTATGCGGTAAATAAGGGTAAGCCTAGGTCCTGCATAGTGGTTAATAAAAAATTTAATGCTCTCTTACTTTCGCAATATAGTGATGGTGACCAAACCGCAGTAAGTATCGAGGGCTCCTGGGGCCAAATATGGGCAGTATCTGCATATCTGGCACATGACCATGCCACACTACCATCGAATATCCTGATACAGCTAACAAGCAGCGCCAGGAGACTCGGAGTAGAGCTTCTAATAGGTTGCTATGCCAACGCTCATCATGAGGTTTGGGGCAGCTCAAACACTAATGAAAGAGGTGACTTACTTTTTGATTTTATATTTAGTAACAATCTGTTCATCTGCAATGATGGCAATATGCCAACTTTTATTACAAAAAACAGGCAGGAAGTGTTAGATGTCACTCTTGCTACTGCTAGGCTTCACGAATCGGTCAAGAACTGGAAAGTGTCCACTCAACACTCGTTCTCAGACCATATGATTCTAGAATTCACCTTAACCTTAGATGAATCGAACATCTGCAATCAAAAAACGTTCAGAAATGTTAAAAACACAAACTGGACGAATTATAATGCAGCTCTAAGTGAGCTGCTTTTAACCACTTCCTCCGATCCCCCTGGGAACACTTCTGATCTAGACAATCAAGTCCAAGATCTCACCTCAGTGCTCAACGAAGCTTTCAGTTATGCTTGTCCCCCCACACAACCTAGTAGGAAATGTAACCCACCTTGGTGGAATAAGCATCTAGGTCTTTTACGAAAAGAGTGTAGGAGACTCTTCAACAGAGCAAAGCTATATAATAATGAGAGTGATTGGCTGAATTACAAAACCTCTCTGCAGGAATATAAGAAAAATTTACGTAGGTCCAAGAGAGACACTTGGCAATCGTACTGTCAAGAAATAAATAGCAATTCTGAAACCTCTAGACTGCGTAAAATCTTATCCAAAAATCCATCTGTCCCAGAGTTACTCAAAAAATCTGACGGGACATGGTGCAATAATAGTAGCGAATCTTTACAATTACTACTAGATACTCACTTTCCGGGATCTTCTACTTCGGTAGCTGCATCCTCAGAGTGCCTTAATCTCTCACCGGTTAACTCTATTAAGGTTAACCTGCAGATCGTCAAATGGGCTATTTTTAGTTTTAAACCCTACAAATCACCAGGACCGGATGGTATTCATCCAATTGAGCTCCAGAATTCGTGGGAGTTAATACACAACCGGCTTTTGGCAATTTTTAGACATTGTTTCTTATTTAACTATGTCCCGATTAAATGGAGGGAGGTTAGAGTAGTTTTTATACCCAAAGCAGGTAAAACCTCGCACCATAACCCCAATGAACTCCGTCCTATAAGCCTCTCCTCTTTCATGTTGAAGGCTCTTGAAAGAATAATAGACGTAGAAGTAAGGCGTGCTGTAAGCCCCAACCAGTGGTCCCCCTCACAGCATGCCTACACTAAGGGAAAATCTACAGAGACAGCTCTCCACTCCCTCACTTACAGAATAGAAAAATCCATAAAACTCAAAGAATTTTGTATGGTTGCTTTTGTAGATATTGAAGGGGCCTTTAACAATATACTCCCGAGTGCAATAGTAAGCGCGATCTCGCGTCTGGGTGTTGATGATGCGCTCATTGGTTTTATAAATCAGCTGCTAACTGGCAGACTCATTGAAGCAACGATGGGCTCATCAACGGCATGCAGAAGGGTAAATAGAGGTACCCCCCAAGGAGGAGTACTCTCCCCTCTCCTTTGGAACATAGTGGTGAATGAACTGCTAATACAACTGAAGGCGGAGGGATGCGAAACTATTGCATACGCGGATGATATTGCGATAACGGTCACCGGAAAATATACTACCACTCTTAGGGATATTCTACAAAATGGTCTTAATATCCTAAACAATTGGACACAAAAATGTGGCCTTGGGGTGAATCCCAATAAAACTGAAATCGTGGTTTTCACAAGAAAACATACGGTCCCGAATCTTTCTCCACCCTCTCTACGAGGTTCTGTGATACATGTGAAGGAGGAAGCCAAATTTTTAGGTATAGTTTTCGACAGGAAACTCACTTGGAAGAAAAACACTCTAGAGCGTGCAAGAAAAGCCAATGTTGCGCTTCTTCTATGTCAGAAAGCTATTGGTAAGAAGTGGGGTCTTCAACCTCGCATCACCCAATGGCTATATATAGCTGTTATTAGGCCCATATTAATGTATGGTATTACGGTATGGTGGACAGCTCTTGATAAATCTTCGTACTGCTCAGTACTTAACAGGATTCAGCGTAGAGCTGAACTCTGTATTAGCGGGGCGCTATGCACCACACCATCCATTGCACTAGATTTGATGCTTCAGTTACTGCCAATGGATATTATTAGTAAACAAATGGCAGCTTCATCTGCTTTAAGACTAAAAGCTACCTCACAATGGAGAGACAGTGACTATGGTCATGCCTCCATTCTAAATCTTTTCAATTTTACTCCTAAAAACGTTGATTACATCACACCCACTCTCAACTTTGACAGGAAATTTGATGTCGTGTTTCCATCTAGAGAGGCATGGACGTCAGGTGGACCCTTCTTAGATGAGGGCGTAACCATTTTCACAGACGGTTCCAAAACAAGTAGTGGTGTAGGTAGTGGAGTTTTCTCAGAGGAATTGAACAAATCTTCCTTCTTTAGGCTTCCAGATCATTGTAGTGTCTTTCAGGCGGAAGTGGTCGCCATCAGGGAAGCTATAGCTTGTTTGAATGTAGATGATATATTTGGCAGGAATATATACATACTATCAGACAGACAAGCTACATTAAAGTTCTTGAGTTCGGTCCAATTTATATTGCAAAGCAGACGAGTTAGCCAGGGTGCTTCAAAACCATACTCGGAGCACCTAGACTATCTGGGCATATCGCTAACATCATGTAAATTGTTATTGAGTTCTTTCT